ACATTGTTCGATTCAGTAGGCTGTCCATTAATGATAATATAAAGTTCTGGATTACGCAATTGTTTAGAATTTATACCAATCTATTTTAAAGTTTCCAAGGTTTTTTTCTAATTGAAGGGGTAAATAAAACATTGCACCTTTAAGAGCCTTCAAAGAATTATAGGTAGGCACTTTTAATGTGAGTGTGCCTAGCCAAACAATTGTCTGAAAACATTTGATTCTTTGCATTAATTGGCAACTCAAAGGATCCAAATTTTTCCAATTCTTCGGGCAGTGGCTCACACTTTAACCCATTGAGCACACAACGTGCTGGAACTTCTTTTGTCCTAATAATAGGTTTACAATGCTTACAAACATATATAACTTTATTTAATGCTGTAGGATCATTCTTTCTAATGTCAACTAATAAAAAATTCCCTACATCACTATCTAAATTTTTAGCTTCAGTGACAGACTTTTTTCTGAAAAGCCTCTCACAGCTACAAAATGCATTAACAGTCTGATAGAACAAAGCTTTTTTAAATTCATCAATAGCATCTGAATACTGAATATAAAGCACAGTATCTAAGTTTGGTGTTGTAAATGGGTCTCCTTCACCATCATTTATAGCGTAAGACACACAAATTCAGTCTCATTGGCTTCATTAATTTTTAAATTTATCAATTGTGCTATGTCGCCATCAGCAAGGGAAGAATCAATAATACTTATTGTTTAATGGGCATTTCTAGCAACATAAAAGTGTCTGAAAAGGCATCTCAACAAGGGATAATGAGCAGATGCATTGCGTAAAATACGTAGCAGCTTTTACATTCAGTAATATTACTACTACACACATATTACTACTACACACAATAGGATGGCCTATCCTTTCACAAACAGTTTCGGAATCCTTAAAAATATTTTTCAACATTATCTTCTTATTTCACAATGACCGTTACATTAGGATTATCACAGAAATCATGTTAATGCACTTAATCTATTTCTTCAACATGCAGAGATCTTGTCATATAATGAGTATTAGGACAATTATCACATACATGGAAATGCTTCCTCAATTTTTTAATGGGTTCATCAAAGTAACGTCTAACTTCAATAATGGAAATAACGTCACTTTCGAATAAAGGCTTGCACCTGTCTGTACAGTGCCATTTGAGGTAGGCTTTCTCTTATTGGTATACATTCTATTGTTATCATCAAAAGTGTCATCTTCAGAATCACTACCATCATTACATTCTTCTACTCTTTCAATGCATGACACATCAACAATCCCAGCTATGTAACAGATGCCATTTGTATTAACAGGGATTGCAATTGCGCTGTCTAATTGGCTATCACAATCATCATTAGGATACAAATATGCTGATTCATAAAAATAAGGCTCAGTATTCTTTGTGTGACATTGATCACCAAAATCACTAAAGCTATTCAACTTCAATTTCCTGATGCTATTAGCTGCACGTATCAATGCGCCTACTTTGTGAGACTTGTTTTTCAAAACTGATTCTAACAATATACTTGATGCAGCATTACATTTACTGTCATATGATGTCTTCTCAAAATCTACACCTTTCATACTTGATGGCAATAAATCAACTACTTCAGGGCTGTAATATAATGCTTCTTTAATTTTAGTAAAATAATATTCCTTTGCTTCACTATTTGGTGCAAGTAGTGAGTAATTATAACGTAATCTATATAATATTTGACCGTAATTACGTTCGTAATAATCTTTTTTTAGACACCTCTTTCTTTATTCAACATCTGCTATCTTTTATTTATCAATTTCATTATCAGAAAGATTAAATTTTATAAATTTATCTTTTGTTACAAGTAATTTACATCTCTATTCTTGTAATACAGGTTCAAAGCCTTTTGTTTTTGTGTTCCTTGATTTTTTTGATAGCGTTCCTTCGACTTAATTTTCTTAGGAACTGCATTTCGGGAATAAATTTTTTAAGCATATTTTTTTTATGTGCAGGAATGAGATCATAGGATACTTTGGAATACTTTTTTGATTTATATTTCTTCAGAGCCTTGTTTTTGTTGTACCATCTTTTACACTTCTTTGTTACATAATATGGATTCAATGCATGATTCTTTTGAGGCCACTTCAGCAGCCGCAAGTTCATATTTTCTTCATATTTTAAAAGCAACTCTTGATTGACTTTTAATGCGCTTACATTGCCTTATATAATATGCTCTTGGGGTGAGGTTTTCTTAGCAATAAAATCCTCATTGTCTCACACTGGAATTATAATCAGAATTTCTTCTCTTTTTTCTTTGCCCTGTTAGATCATTCCCTAAAACATTACTTATAAGAAATGCACTCAACTCTAATGCAATAATAAGCTCTAACAACAGCAACAACAACCAAATACTCATATATATATATACATTTTATACAAGCTTCAGGTAATCAGTTTACAGCTAATTTATATTTAAAGCAATTATCTGATTATGTAGCTAAAACTACACAGGATAACGAAGCTCAGTATCAGAAATAAATGACTGAACTGTACTAGTGAGCTGGTGGATAACCGTCGGATACAGCTAGCAGCTGGCAGTGAATCTATTAAAAAAAGTAAATTATATTACTGCTATTACCACTAAAGTACAACTGTAAGTTACCTATAGCTCTGAAAAGAACTGTTCCTCCTTAAAATGACCTGTTAGCTTAATACAAAAATAAGCAGACTCACATAAGATTAATAAAATCACTGCTTGCTTGGTGCCGTGAAGTACAGAAGTACAACAGATGTAGTGCGCATGTGCACGCTTGCAATAACGAAGGTGTGCCCACACCACTCATTATGAATATCGTTAAAAATGGCTGCACTAATAGAAAACTGAAGTTATTCCATGGACATCCTTGTTCCAAGTGGTGAAGAACTATTTACAAACCAGCAGTAGAGGTAGTTTCTAAAAGAAGTTATTAGAACTGATAGAAGAAACATGACAGAAGGAAAAGTCTGAAAAATTTTGCAGAAGTTTGAATTGGGGCCTGTTCTCCCGAAAAGTTCCTACTACATTACAGTCCACTTTAAAGGTATCAGGAGAATCGCTCAGTGGAGGAGAGCTTATCTAAGCCATTTATAAGGCTGTACAACGTAAGATAAAAGAGTTATAAGCGTTTAAAAATTATATATCTTGTCGCCATCTTAAAAAATCAACCTCAACCCTACATATAGGCTATCACCTATATACCACCTATATAATAACGGCTGTCCTACATAAGTACAGTTTAATAAAAATAATAAAAACGCACAAAGCCATTCCTCCAAACTTTCCCATAAATAATAAGTTTTTTTTAATAGCAGCAGTCACGTAAGCTATAGTTTTCCCTGAAAAACCATCAATTGCCAGTGCATGGGTATCACCATACATTTGTAGTGTTTTGTTATGATCTAGGTGTAGCTTGTGCCCAAAGTTTTGTGCAAAATAAGGCCTTGGGTTGGTTGGATCAGTAGTACAGTGTGTACGGTTCCTATATGCATCTGGACCTACTTGTTGCAATGATGTTGAAAGCATATGTTCTCCAATTGTAATGCCACGTGATTGTAAGTAACCATTTAACATCTTTCTCCCATACACATCACCAACCAATGAAAAAATTATAGTCTACCTTAAGTTCAATTCACTGATTTTGGCATAATTAGTACACAAAAAATTTGGCTCTACTAAAAAGCTTTAGCTAGCATAGACATACTTGTAT